TAAAGTTTGCATGATATATCCCTATAATTCTAGATATCCACGGTGTAACATCATATCATGCACGTCCTTAATGTGTTGGTCATTCGATACCTTTACAGCTGATCCATTACCATGTTGGTCTTCATAATATTTTCTTCCAAACATAAATACATACCAGCATTTGACTATATCGTAAGAAACTTCACACACAGTAGGATGAGATCAGTTGCATCTCAATCTAACCCCGATGTGCTACCCAAGAGCCCGGTACGGCAGTTACGTCTGCGAAACTGTGGCGGGCCGCAGATACAAGATAAACCTAAATTTCTACATCGCAACATGGGGCCCTGGGTAGCTGGGTGACTAACGCGTCGAGTTACTAACCGGTCGACCTGAGGCTCGCAGGTTTGAATCCCCGCTTCGAAAGCTAATTTCGAGCCATTGATGTTGTGTTGTGTATGATGTCTATATCACCAGATCGGTACAAGATCAACATACATAGCGTTAATGTAGCTGTTTTATTCAATAATTAGGAGTAGATGGCTTTTGGAGTAGTACAGTGTTGGTACTATGGGGTCGACAAAAAGGGTCAAAGGTGGCCTTAGTTTCGACGCTTGGCCTCTCCACCACTACTACAACTACTAGACCGCAACAGGGTAACGACTAATTGTATGAGCCTATTTGACCGACTCGAACCATTCAATTTCTTTTACACATGTTCGTGGTTGACTGTTTTCTACTTGTACACATGATGTCGGTGTTTCGTAGGAAGTGCAGAGTCAACCTACTTGACGCTATTTTTTGAAAACATTTTTGAAACAATTTTATTATTTAGCTGACATAGATCACTTATTGTTTTACTGTCAACAACATTATTCAAATCAACATCTGCAAGTGGGTTAGGGGCGGAGCATAGGGATCAACCCCCGTAAGTTGCGCGGGAACGACCGAAAGTGTATTCACATAAGAAATTAGGAGTACCCCGAGCTTTGAACCATACCATAAAATTTAACAAGGCTTAACAAATACGAATAGCCTTGAAATTACTGACGTCGATTGGCTATTATGAGCTTAGCATGCCACATTATTTCGGAGATAATGTGGAACTGCCGTCCTAAAGACGTTGGCTGAACTTATGACTGTAGCAGGAAAGGAGCTCATCTCTATTCCTCATACGAGGTCTGTAACTTAAGTAATGAGACTGGCAACGTAGCGGTCGATCCGGCAACATCTGGACGTGCCGGGCTTGGAGGGAAGATATGTGATCCGCCTTCAGCACAAGTTTGAAATAGTTTTTTCTATTGTGTTTTAAAAATGAGTGACTTCAATTTCGATGCTATCAGGTTTTGCTTCAGACTTGGGCACAGTGCAACGGAAACTCTTGCTAAACTTCAGCAGGCCTACGGAGATAGCGTTTTGTCAAGAGCCTAGGTGTTTCGGTGGTTTAGAACCGATGAAAATATCCATAGAATCCGAGATCTTGTGCATTCAGATCGGCGATTGACAGTCAAAATGATCGGGGAAGGGTTAAATTTAACTCACTCATACAACCGTTCACCAGATTTTAACCAATGAATAGGGTGTGAGAGAAATCTCGACAAAAACGGTTCCAAAAAACATTTCGCAAGACCAAAAGGACACCAGGAACACCTCAACTTTTTGGATTCAATTGACCCTCATTTTCTGAAACATCTCATTACCGGTGATGAGTTTTGGATGTTTGAGTACGACTCAAGAATCAAGCGCCATAGCGTGGAGCGGCACAGTTCAACCTCTTCAAGGCCCAAAAAAGCAATAAAGGCAAAAGAAGAATATCTTGGAAAACTCCCGAATAAGGCCGTTCGTGTGAG